ATTAATAATGACTAACTGACATTAAACACTTTATTGTAAAACATTTTCCATCAATTCCACGCAGCCCTTCCAGCAATATATAAAATAGGAAATATAAGTACAAACCATTTCAGTACCTTGGCAGTTATGGATCCACTGCTGATTAGCGCCTTGTTATCCTGGATGTTCACCTTCAGGAGGGTCTGCAAATCCTCCAGGTCCGTCACTGTGACTTGTGCTCTGGAGACATTGATAAGAGAAAATATGTATTCATACATTTTGGTAAATCAAACAGATGTTGGGCCAAAAAGTGCAGGTTAAAGCTGTATTATCCAGTTTATGTCCAACATCAGCTGCTTTTATCTGGATCAAACAGTCATAAAGTGCAAAAACATAGCTTTATGTCCATAGTAATAGCAAAGTTATAAAATGTCTTTACTTGTTACTTGGGCTGCAACCAGCGATTATTGTTGTTGTTGATTAATCTGACAATTATCACCTGGAGTGATCGATTAGTTGTTGTTTGGAAATGGATAAAAATGTCAGTCAGTGTTTCCCAAAATGACAAATATCTTGTTTTGTTCACAAGATATTCTGTTTACTATCATACATGAGAAAGGAAACCAGAAAATATTCACATTGAAGAAGCTACAAACTGAGAATGTAGACTTTTTTCTCTCTTAAAAAATTACTCAAACCAACTGAGTCATTACCAGAATAGTTGCTAATAAATTTAACGGTTGGTAACTACCTGATTAATCTTTGCAGCTCAGACTGAGCAGCCATCTGCATCGAACCGTCACATCATGCAAACACATGAAACTTTATCTCTGTGGTGACAGCAAGTGTGTCTCAGTGAAACCTTCACATTTTTTATAACTGAATGTTTCTGACCAAAGAAATGTTTGCAGTTTGGAGTGTAATCAGGCCAGACATCTGGAATGATTATTATTATATTATAATTATATACATACTGTCACACTGAGTCACTTTAGGTGCCACTTGAACTTCAGCTGCACATACTTTTATTTGTCTTTATACACATACTTTTATATTTTTTATCTATTGTATTCTTTGTGAGGGCTGCAAGGTGGAGCGGTGGTTAGCACCGTTGCCTCGCAGCAAGAAGGTCGCCGGTTCGCGTCCCGGTGAGGACACCCGGGATCTTTCTGTGTGGAGTCTCCATGTTCTCCCCGTGCAGCGTGGGTTCTCTCCAGGTTCTCCGGCTTCCTCCCACAGTCCAGGAACATGCTGAGGTTAATTGGTGATTGTAAATTGTCCGTAGGTGTGAATGTGAGTGTGGTGAGCTTGGTTGTCTGTCTCTAAGTGTAGCCCTGTGATAGACTGGTTACCTGTCCAGGTGAACCTGCCTTCACCCTGAGTCAGCTAGGACCCTAGTGAGGATTAAGCGGTGTATAGATAATGGATTAAGTCAAGTCTTTTTGAAGCATTAATAACATTTTACTTACAAAGTAGGAGCTGCAATCACTTTTTATTAAATGGAAAACTTCATTATATGAGTTGAGTTGGTCCTTTAAAGACACTTTAACTGATATAAACAACTGGACTGCTCATAATGTAGGTTACAGAGAGGATGTAGAGACATATAGCCTGAGGATAACTGCTAGAGAGATTTGTTTATGTCTGATCAGATAAAAGCAGTTGTGCATGAATACAAACTGGGTGATCAGTTTTTTTTAAGGCTGCATGATGCCTTTACACAGAAACAGCAGCGCTACCAGACACAGTATTAACAGTTAAACATCAGACTAACACAATGCAGACCCTGAACTCATCTCACCCCAGCGTTGCAGCCATCAGACCCACCGCTCCTGTCCCAGCTCCCAGCTCCAGCACGGTGCTGCCGGACCACACGTTCAGTCCTGAGGACGGATCCTGGAACTGTTCGGTCTCCAGGTACTTGGCCAGAACTATGGCTGCGTCCCAGACCACGCAGCCCACGTCTCCCAAGTAGCACTGCTTCACTCTCAAGACACAGCCGTCGTTTGTCTCAATTTCTCTCACAAAATATTGACTCTCATCTGCATCGGCCGCCATGTTGGACTCAGCAGCCGGAAGCGGAGGACTTTCAGTGGAAGTTTTTCACAATAAAAGCCCCGCTTCGTTTCATTGAGTGGACACATCTGCACAACAATAAACTCCTGCACAATCCTCTATGTGCTGATCGTTTTTCCTTCTTATTATTAGAAACTTTATTTTGTGGAAAATGCGACTAGAAACCAGTGGTGTTGTTGGGACTTGATTCAGACTTTATATTTTAACCTATTGCCAAATTTCAGGTTATTTCAGTGCAAAGTCAATATAAAATGTGAGACACTGTGTGTGTTGGATCATCTCACATTAATGTGAGAAACGGGAAAGATAAGATAACACAGTCAGATTTCAAATTTATACTTGAAATAAAACCACATGTAAAAAAGAAAGCAGATAAGATCAGAAAGAAAGAAAAAAAAGACTTCACCTATAGGAAAGCTTTGAGAAGAGACTGACTGAATACTGACATCAAAAAGTGGCATCTGTGGTGTTTTGGGCTGAGTTAGGTTTGTAATTTAGGAAATCAACAACACCTTTGACAGAGACGCTCCTGCAGGCCTCCACCTTCACATGTACCAAACCTCTACCCAGTCATTTTTAAAATAAAGTCATGACTGTGAGTTTAAATCTGCTACGACTGTGATGTCTTGAGAACAAAACATCCATCCATTATCTATACACCGCTTAATCCTCACTAGGGTCGTGGGGGGCTGGAGTCTATCCCAGCTGACTCAGGGTGAAGGCAGGTTCACCTGGACAGGTAACCAGTCTATCACAGGGCTACACTTAGAGACAGACAACCAAGTTTCTGGACTGTGGGAGGAAGCCGGAGAACCAACGCTGCACGGGGAGAAGATGGAGACTCCATGCAGAAAGATCCTGGGTGTCCTCACTGGGATGCGAACCAGCGACCTTCTTGCTGCGAGGCAACGGTTCTAACCACAGCCCTCAGAATAAAACATGATTCCTCAAAATATTACTTGAATCAAAACACTTATAAAAGCGTGCTTTCATGATCGCTGCTTCCTTTTTGCTTTAGATTTGCGGTTCCTGTTTACTCCTGTTAGTTCCTCTTCTTTTCAGAAACAGCCTCTGGGTTAAACGACAGTTTCTTTGTCGGATGAAAGTGAAGCTAAGAAACAAGTAATGAACCAAGTCGTGCATTACTTATACTCCCCTGAAAACCTGTTGAATTTTTAAAACAGTCAGTTGCAATTAATGTATTTTTGGACTTTTATTTTTATACCAACACAACATAACTATAGCCAATTCATTTACAAAATCTTTTTTTAAATGGTTTCTTAACATCATAATATAGTGGCATTTAGTGCTTCATTTTTTAAGGTGAGCTCATGAGGCTCATTATGTTTGATCTCCAAATTGTTGAAAACCACATCCGTATTTGCCAATATTAGTGTTCCTTCCCATGTATTGGTATTGGTCTGATGAACAACTTTAGCTGATGTAAAAAACTGATGATTGTCTAACATTAGCGCCTTCGTTATTGTTGCTATTTCACAGATGTTTTTACTTAATGGTCCTGGACTTAAATATGTTAAATTATGTTTAAACATGTTTTATTTTTGTTATGTAATGAAGAAAATTATGTGGTCTAATTTGATGGTCTAAATGGTCTAATTGAATTTCCCTTCAGGATAAAAGTATTTTTCATTTCATTTGGTATGGGCTTCTTGTGAATAGTTTCTCATGGTGCTTACTTATACTCATTTTTTGGTGTGAACAAGAATTAAATATCAACATCGATAATGTCGGTTATCGGCGATATCAGAAATCTTAATATCGGACATCAGTATCGGCCAGAAATGTTAATATCGTGCATCACTAATTTTGCTACATAATTAGCATTTCAGTGGCAATGTAGGGCCGGCAAACACTTTTTGGAAGGTGAAAAACTGCATTATATGAGTTGATTTGGATTCATGGATTTATTGTATGACAGGACACAGAACAGGTAAAAGAAGGCAGAGACATTTTGGATAATCCAGTTTGGGGAGTTTACAAACTTTCATTTTTTCCAAGTTTAATTTTTACAATGTAAATCCACCACATATACAGTTAGTGTTGGAGGCCCAAACAGTCAATCAATAAATGAGTCAATCAACAAGCTGCTCTGTTTTCCTGATTGTAAATAAAGTTATCTCAACGATAATTGGTTAATCAAATACCTGACATGCGCAGATGCTCGATGCTAACGCAGGGAGCGCGTAAGCTCGCGCATTTGTTCAGTAGTTATTGCTAGCTACCTGAGCGGCCTAATTACGTTTGACACAGACGACTTTAGGCCTTTATAAAATTATAGGAAGGGAATTTTGCAGATGTAGAAATTGTTTTGGTACTTTTTGCGCATTATGCTGCCTTTGCGAGGTTTTAAAATGTTTAGCAGCAGCACGGAGGAGGTGTCCGCCGGTGACGCCTCAGAGTGCGGGCAGACGTGGGGGTTGTGGTCGGTGGACAGAAGCGGACAGAACAACGAAACTACCTCATATGGTCCCGCTTCAGCTTCATCCTCCCTGCAAAGTTTAAATGAGGGCAGTTCGAGCTCCAGTCACGATCTACCGAGAATAGCCTCAGGTGATGTTTGGATACCCGGAGCAGCTTAAGCTAACACTAGCAACCTTTATTAGTGGAAACTGATGTTAAAGACCAGAAGCGCTGTTAGCATCCTGACCACAAGAAATCTATGATCCTGACACATTCAGGGCCCAGCCGCTCAGTCTTTAGATTTTAACCTAATAATTGCCCCCGTTTTCAAGTTATTTCAGAGCAAAATTAATAGAAATAGTGAGACACAGCTCCAGGCTAAGTTAGGTCATCCTACTCTCTCTGTTTTTTTTAATGCTAATTTTAAATGGATTAAAAAAAACAAAAGGGGCTCAGTGTTTTTAAAAAAAAATGAGAAGAGATATATTATTGGATAGAAATGTTCTTCTTCATTCAAGCACTTTCAGATGTAGTGCCTCTGCTGTGGATTAACTCGAGTAAATATTACAGTTTTATGCCACTTTAAACAAGACTTAAAATGCTGATTAACTTCCAGAGATTAAAATGAAGCATCAGCAGTATTGTGATAATGAAACAGCCACATCGGTGTTTACGCAGCATTTATCCAGTTACACATTTATATCCCAGGGAGTGCAGGGCCGATAAAACCAGTGGTACTCAAACAATTTGCCTTGGAATTAGTCTTATCTGCGATGATTTACAAAGCTATAATCATTACGTAAAGCTGGCCCTTGAAAATACTTGTCTTCTTTAATGTAATATTGGTGACTGATCCTTTAAACAGTGCAGGAGTTAGAGGTTTGTTTCTTAGCGAGGGGGTAAAAAGTTCACCCATCAAATTTTATTTTACAAAACACCAAATAAATAATTAACAATCAGCTGACTGCGCTGCTGGCAAGATACACAGAAAAATCAACTTACAATAAAAAAGGAAATGTGCTGACAGTGCTTGCTGGCTGTGTGCATTCTTTGTTAGTTTAATGAGGAGGGAGGCCATGTTCTGTATGTAGTTATAGGGCAAGCGTCCTTACACACAATAATAACACAGCTGCAAGTATCCTGCTGTGAGACTGTAAAATGGAAAACTGTCCTTACCACACTGCTGGTAAAGACCACAAAAAATCAAATCTCTGAATTTGTTTGGGTAGTGGATCATGGACCAACAGGGCCTGAACAATACATTTAGTCCCTCTGCAGGGTCTTACCATTGTAATAATGACTTCTCTTATTATATTTTGCCTTGATATACAGTAGGTCCGAGTCACAGCAGCTTCAGGATAGGGAGGACAGCTTCATCGCTCCTCGTGTCCACTTCGGACAGCGCCTCTTTCCGCAGCCGTGGAGGAACACCGGGTCTCCGAAGGACCCCAGGGTCTGCTGGGGCCACAGGTCAACAGCCTGCACATAGTTAACATGACCGGTGGTGCTTTAACCCTAAATATATCATCTGTTAAGTAAGATGTTCCTCGTTCACTTTGATTTATTTTTCAGGCACAAGTTGCTCATCTGGATCCACAACCGCCAGTGCCTCTGTAATTGTGGCAGTGGTTGAAGGTCGTGGTTTGGCCAGGGGTGAGATCGGCATGGCCAGTGTCAATCTGAAATGCCCAGAGCTTGTACTCTCTCAGTTTGCAGACACGGGGACGTATGCCAAGGTAACCCATCCGTGTCCTACTGGCCAACGATAATTACTCAGCACTCAGAAGAGACTGTGCAATCCAGGACATTTCTGAATCAGTCATATATTGCTCTCTTAAAGGTCATAACCAAGATTCACATCTTGGTTCCCGTGGAGATACTGATGCCGGACACAGCCAGTGAGAAGGGAAAAGGGACAAAACTCTTCAAACTCATCACTGAGAATTTCCCGGTACGATCACGGAATAGGTTTTATGAGCAAAACACACAATGCTTCCAAACAAATAGCCACTTAAAACGCAGAGAGCAGCTTACTCAGGTTCATTCATTCACTCGCTCTCGCTTGTGGTTAGCACCGCTGTGAACTGTGCTGGTATGTCCCACCTATAAACGTGTTAGTGTGAGGTAATAATTGGATTTTATCGTGCTCTTTGTCAGTGTGTGGCTTTCACTGCAATCCAGCGCAAGTATTTTAATGAGAGGAAAGGGCTGGAGTACATTCAGCAGCTGTGTGCCCCAGAATTTGGCACCGTCCTCATGGAAGTGCAAGCTAAGTACGCCTCTGAGTACAATGATGTATAAAAACAGATACTCTGGAGAACTGTACTTTTTTCATTATCGGATGTCATGATTTGTGTAGGTATTATTGCCTAGCAGCTGCAGCCGCTTTGCTGAAATACTTGGAGTTCCTCCAGAACTCTGTCTACGCTGCCAAGTCTCTTAAAGTGAGCTTTAAAGGGAGCGAACAGACAGCGATGATTGACTCAGCGTCTGCCACTAACTTGGAGCTGGTGGTCAATAATAGAGACCACAGGTAAGACAGGAAGCAATGACAAAAGCATCGTGTCTTGTTCTGTCATAGAT